CTGCTCCTATGATGCTGCTTGGCCTGCTGTGTTCATCCAGCCCTGCACCTTGTTGTCTCTAACATCCTGGTAAACCTGTTCTGTACCCTCTCCAAAGCATCCATATCCTCCGGTAGTGTGGTGACCAGAACCATACGCAATATTGCAAGTGTGGCCTAACTAAAGTTCTATAAAGGTGCAGCATAACTTGCCTATCCTTATACTTAATGCCCCTTCCAATGAAGGCAAACATACCATAGGCCTTTTGTACTACTTTATCTACCTGTGCTGACACCTTCAGTGATCTGGGGACTTACACACCCAGATCCCTCTGCTTATCAATACTCCTAAGGATTCTGCCATTCACTGTATAATTTCCACTTGTACTTGACCTTCCAAAATGCATCTCTTCACGTTTTCATTGTATGTACAGAATGCCTTGAAACTCTCTTTAACCCTACTTGTAAAGGACATTACATGGCCCTCTTTAGAATATTCTTTATCCTTTATTGTCATCTATATTCAATATAAGATAATGAAAATTGTGTACTGTCGCCTAAACATAAGCACCATTCACATTAACTTAGAATAAAATTTTAAAAAAGACAAAGACAGTCCAACATTTCTTTCTCTGCTGCTATAGATGCCAGAGTCTCACTCCAAGATTCACCAGCCCACGCCATGGCACCAAGAGTGTCCCAGTCCAGGCTTCATCAGCCCACGCCATGGCACCACCCTGCTTGTGGCTTCCCTGCCAGTGCCATGACGCTGTTAGGGGCCTACTCCACACAGAAACAAGAGCCCTGCTCCAGGATTCACAGGCCGACTAACCGTCCCTGCAGTCATACTGCCTCTGAAAATGCTGCTGCCTCCCTGAAACCCATCAAAGCTACCTCCTGCCGAATAGCTATCTCCATCAGGGAAGTTTGAGAAAAAAGAAGTGGTAGAAGGACAAAGAAAAGAAAAAAAAATGCAGACAAATAGGACAAGCCCAGGCACAGGAGCCCGTATGCTGCCTACTTTGCAGCCACCATATTCATTGCTCTCCTAACTCCTTGCTTGCGTTCATTCCTGCTTTCTTTATATTCCTCACGGGGACTGTCCAATTTTAGCTTCCTAAACCTTACATATGATTCTATTTCACTTTTGATGAAATTTACAACCTCCCTCGTTATCCAAGGTCCCTTACCTGGCCACCCTTGTCCTTCCCCCTTACTGGAACATGCCGGTGCTGAACTCTCCCCAGCAGGTCTTTAAACAATTCCCACATGTCACATGTGGGCTTGCCTGATTGCTCCTCCCAATTAACACTCCCCAGCTTCTGCCTAATACTGACATTATTTGCCCTGCTCCAATTTAGTACCTTCCTGCAAGATCCTGTCTTATCCTTATACATAGCTATCCGAAAGCTTAAGGGGTTGTGATCACTGCTTCCAAAATGTGCTCCCACTGAAAGGTCAGTCACCAGGCCAGGCTTATTAGCCAATACAAGGTCCAGTATGGCCTCTCCTCTAGTTGCACTATCCACATACTGTTTCCAGAAACCGTCTTGGATGCTCCTGAACAAATTCTGCCCCGTCTGAGCATCTTAGTCTAAGGGAGTCCCAGTGAATGTTGGGGAAGTTAGTCACCCATTATTACAACCCTGTTGTTATTGCATCTTTCCATAATCTGCCTATATATTTGTTCCCCAACATCTCAGTGGCATTTGGGGGGCCTATCATATAATCCTAACCCATCCTATTTTTGAGTTCTACCCATATTGCCTCAGTGGATGAGCCCTCCAGCATGTCCTCTCTGAGTGCAGATGTGACATTCTCCCTGATTATTCACACATCTCCTCCACCTCTTTTACTTCCTCCTAGTCTGGTCTAAAACAAGGAAACTCTGGAATGTTGAGCAGTCATTCCTGTCCCTCCACCTCCCTGTAACCAGTGTCTATCACACTGTCTACCCTCTGTATGATCCTCAGTGTGTCCCACTGTCACTCTAACCCAACAACGCAGTCTGTGAGGAGCTGCAGCTGGTCGCTCTTCCTGCAGACATAATTGTCAGGCACACTAGAATACTCCCTAAAGCCCACATCTGGCAGGGGAGCACACCACTGCCCTCATTGCCATCTCTGCCTCTTTATGCTCGGAAAGACAACAGAGTCTTACATTGCCTTTACTTTGCTCACCCTTCTCACTGTAGTCCGGTATTCACCTAAGCCCACACTTACACCAATTTACAGCACTTCCACCACACTGCAGCCCCTTTCAACCTATTTTGTTGGTCATTTCTAATTAACGGTTAATTAAATTACAATGCAATCTTTACAAACAGACTAAACACCTTCTATGCTACAACAAACTTCCTAATAGCCTCTCACAATCTCTTCTTTTCTTTGTTTCATTCATGAGATAAGGGTGTCACTGACCAGGGCAGCATTTATTACCCAGAGGGCAGTTCAGAGTCAGCCACATTGCTGTGGGTCTGGAGTCACATGTAGGCCAGACCAGGTAAGGATGGCAGTTTCCTTCCCTAAAGGACATTAATGAACCTGATGGGTTTTCCCAACAAATGACCCTGGATTAATGGCTATTATTAAACCCTTAATTCCAGATTTTTGTTGAATTCAACTTCCACTATCGACCATGGCAGGATTCAAACTTGGGTCCCCAGAACATTATCTGGGTCTCTGGATTAACAGTCCAGCAATAATACCACTAAGCCTTCGCCTTCCTTTTATTGGTGAGAGGAGGAGGGAAAGAGGGAAACACGACCAGAATATAATGTTTGAGGCTTCCCATGCCTTGACACCAGGTGCTTCTGTGATCTGCTGCACAGTCATGGTAACTGAGCTGACTTCTCCCAGAATGCTCCACAATCATGTGTCTCTGCCACCTTCTACTGGATGCTCTTCCAAGACAGCAGATATATGGGAAAAGCACCACCTTCAAGTTCCCTTCCAAGCCACTCACCATCCTCACTTTTGCATTGCTGTGTTAAAATCCTGGAGTTCCCTCCTTAAAGAACTGCAGTGGTTCAAAAATTAGAATTAAAATTAGCTTTATTTATACATGTACTCAAATGACTACGGCAAAAACTTTACAAGTCGCCGCCTACAGCGCCATCTGATTGATTGATTTTATTGTCATGTGTACTGAAATAGAGTGAAAAGCTTTGTTTACGAGCAGTAGATCACAGCAAGCAAAGGATGTACAGATCAAAAAGACTTAGAAGCAGACAGGTTACATTATTTGAGGATAGAGAGTCCATTCAACAGTCTGATAACGGCCAGAAGGAAGCTGTTCCTGAACCTGCTGCTATGTGAGTTCAAGGTTCTGTACTTTCTGCCTGATGGAAGAGGTTGTAGGACATCATTACTGAGGCAGGAGGGGTCTTTGATAATGTTACAAGCCTTTCCGCAACGATGAGCCGTGTAAATGGAGTCCATGGATGGAAGGTTGGCTTCAGTGATGGTCTGGGCTGTGCACCTTCTGTAGTTATGGTCCTGGGCAGAGCAGTTGCCATACCAGGCCGTTATGCACCCGGACAGTATGCTTTGAACAGTCTATCTAAAAAGTTGGCGAAGGTCCTTATGAACATGCCAAATTTCCTGAGCTGCCTGAGGAAGAAGAGGCATTGCTGTGTCTTCTTGACAGTCACGTCTACATGGGAAGACCAGGACAGATTGTTGGTTATCGTCACTGTGAGGAATTTGATGAGGGCATGTTCTCCTCCTTTCTTTCTGAAGTCAATGATCAGTTCTTTAGTTTTGCTGATGTTGAGAGAAATACTGTGTTTTCATTGCACCACATCACCAAGCCCTCTATCTCCCTTCTGTATTTTGACTCATTGTTGTTAGATATTCGTCCAACTATGATGTCCTCAGCGAACTTGTAGATGGTGGTTCATTCAGAATTTGGCAACACAGTCGTGGGTGTACAGGGAGGACAGTAGGGGCTGAGGATGTATCCTTGGGGTGCTCCAGTGTTAAGTGTTGTTGTGGAGGAGGTACAGTTACCTATCCTCACTGATTATGATCTGTGGGTCAGGAAGCTGAGCATCCAGTTGCAGAGAGTGGAGCTGAGACCAAGGTCACGCAGTTTTGAGATCAGTCTGGAGGGGGAAGTGATGTTGACTACAGCTCTGCCTTCAATGACCAGGAGCCAGATGTGGGTGTCCTTGTTGTCCAGATGTTCCAGGGATGAGTGCAGGTCTAGGGACATGTTCCAGGTATCTAGGTATAGATTCTTCAGTATGAGTTCTTCGGAAAAAAATTAGAAATCTCAATAAATACTGGCCCAGCCAGCGATACCTTCATCTGATGAGTGAATAAAAAGAATAAAAACAGAAGAAAAAGTGCCAAGCAGCAAGCTTGTTTAGCTTTGGAAGTATTTCTTTTGTACCATGTTTACTGTTATCTGCATGGACCGGTTGGACTGAAGGGTGTGTTTCTGCGCTGTATGGCTAGTACTAAGGCTGTAACCATGACAAATATATTGAAATCAAGCCATTATATTACTAGGGCAAGTACACATTTCATGAAAATGTGTTTTACAAAATGGATTCCACACATAAAAACATCACAGATGCGATTGAGTCAACTGTAGAAAACAGGATTAACCTTGCACAGACAATAAGGTATCATAGGGACACTGCATTTATCTTTAGATTTTTAACTGCAAAGCAGCTAATCATCTGACTGCTTGCATATTTAGTGCACTTTTCATAATGTATAATAAATGGAATAGCATGGACCTGGTCAGGAGAAGGGATTTTATTCAAATAGAATATGGTCAGAAAGTGGTTGGTTTTGGGCAATGATTGGTGTGCTGACCTACAGCTGCTACATTGGAAGCTGCAGCTGTACATAGGTTTTGGGACGTCCATGTACCAGCAGGAAAACTTCGAGGAACATCAGATTTGAGGAGCAATTTAAAGGAGACAGAGATAAGGGTGAAAAGGGTAGGGATGAGGTGGGATTGATGAGTGATCCATGACCACATTGAATGGCAGAGCAGCTACCAAAGTCTTAATCCTGCTCCTAATTCGTACATTCATATGTGTGTTTCAATAGTGAGGCAGAAAGGCTTAGGGATGGAATTCCAGAGGTTAGGATCCTGGCAGCCAATGATAGAGCGCTAAAATTTGGAATTGTGCAAGACACCAGAAGTTGCAAGTTCAGAAATCTTGGAGGGTTGTGGAGGTGGAGGAGATTACAAAGATGGAAAGAAGCGAAATTATGGAAGGATTTGAAAATGTAAAAAAAAATTTAAATTGAGCATATCTACAGCAGGTGTGGCAATGAACAAGATAAAGTGCACATTAGAATCTAGTTGTGAGAATTTTTGACGAGCTCAAGTTTACAGAAAGCCCACAGTAGGAGGACAGACCACACAACATTAGAAATAATCAGGTCTAGAATTCACAAAGTGAAGGTAAATTCCCATTCGACTCAAGGTCTGCTCTCTCATGAGAGAAAAATGACTGGTGGTGGTTTAGCCTGAGGGTGACCATGCCTCAGGCAAGGAAAAGGTTGAGAAGGAAAGATTTTCATGGTAACCTGAGCCAGAATTGAACCCACACAGTTGGCATTAATGTACATCACAAACCAGCCAAATGAGCTAACTTATCCCCATAAAAGGCATGGATGAGAGTTACAGTAACAGATGCGCTGGAAAGTTGGGCATTGTCTTGGAGGCTGCCTTGGTGATGGGGTCAGACACTCAGTTCAAAGTCAAATAAAATACCATGATCAGGTTAAGCGTTGTAATGGGCAAATGGGTATGATTTAGTGGCTATTACAGAGACATGGTTACAGGATGGTCATGACTGGGAGTTAAATATCCAGGGGTATCAAACTGTTCGGAAGGACAGACAGGAAGGTAAGGGAAGTTGTGTTGCTCTGATTTTTAAGGATGATATCAGGGCGGAAGTGAGAGATGATACCGGTTCTACTGAACAAAAGGTTGAATCCATTTGGGTGGAAATTAGGAATAGCAGGGAGAAAAAGTCACTGATAGGTGTGGTCTATAGGCCACCAAATAATGATATCATGGTGGGACGAGCAATAAACCTAGAAATAGTTAATGCATGTAAAAATGGTACAGCAATTATCATGGGGGATTTTAATCTACATATCGATTGGTCAAACCAGGTCGGTCATGGCAGCCTTGAGGAGGGGTTCATAGAATGCATCCGTGATAATTTCCTTGAACAATATGTAATGGAACCTACGAGGGAGCAAGCTATCCTAAATCTAGTCCTGTGTAATGAAACAGGAATAATTAATGATCTCACAGTTAGCGATCCTCTCGGAAGGAGCGATCACAGTATGGTCAAATTTGAAATACAGATGGAGCGTGTGAAGGTTAAATCCAGTACCTATGTCCTGTGCTTAAACAAAGGAGACTATGATGGGATGAGGAAGGAGTTAGCTAAGGTAGAATGGGAGCAAAAACTTTATGGTGGGTCAATTGAGGAACAGTGGAGGACTTTCAAAACGATGTTTCACAGTGCTCAGCAGAAGTATATTCCAGTGATACGGAAGAACTGTAGGAAAAGAGAGAGCCAGCCATGGATGTCTAAGGAAATAAAGGAAAGTATCAGATTGAAAAAAAACACATACAAAAAAACAAAGAGTAGTGGGAAACTAGTAGACTGGGAAATCTTTAAAGGTCAACAGAAAGCCACAAAAAAAGTTATGAAGAAAAGTAAGATAGATTATGAGAGTAAAGTAGCTCAGAATATAAAAACAGGCAGCAAAAGTTTCTATAAATATGTAAATCGTAAAAGAGTGGTGAAGGTAAACATTGGTCCTTTAGAGGATGAGAAGGCCAATTTAATAACTGGGAATGAGGAAATAGCCGAGGCATTAAACAGTTATTTCATGTCGGTCTTCACAGTGGAAGACACAAATAACATGCCGAAAACTAATGGCAAGAAGGTTATAGCAGGTGAGGACCTAGAAACTATCATTATCACTAAGGAGGCAGTGCTGGGCAAGCTAATGGGGCTAAAGGTAGACAAGACTCCTGGCCCTGATGAAATGCATCCCAGGATACTAAAAGAGGTGATGGGGGAAATAGCAAATGCACTAGTAATTATTTACCAAAATTCACTGGACTCTGGGGTGGTTCCCGCAGATTGGAAAACAGCCAATGTGACACCACTGTTTAAAAAAGGAAGTAGACAAAAAGCAGGTAACTATAGGCCAGTTAGCTTAACTTCAGTAGTGGGGAAAATGCTTGAATCTATCATTAAGGAAGAAATAGCAAGACATCTGGATATAAATTGTCCCATTGGGAATACCCAGCATGGGTTCAGGAAGGGCAGGTCATGTTTAACTAATTTGGTGGAATTCTTTGAGGACATTACTTGCATGGTGGACAATGGGGAACCTGTGGATGTGGTGTATCTGGATTTCCAGAAGGTATTTGACAAGGTGCCACACCAAAGGCTGCTACATAAGATAAAGTTGCATGGTATTACAGGTAATGTATTGGCATGGATAGAGGATTGGTTGACCAGTAGAAAGCAAAGAGTAGAGGTAAATGGGTGTTTTTCTGGTTGGAGGTCAGTGGCTAGTGGTGTGCCTCAGGGATCAGTGTTGGGACTTCAATTGTTTACAATTTACACAGATGATTTGGAGTTGGGGACTAAGTGTGGTGTGTCAAAATTTGCAGATGACACTAAGGTGAGTGGTAGAGCAAAGTGTGCAGAAGACACTGAAAGTCTGCAGAGGGATATAGATAGTCTAAGTGAGTGGGCAAAGGTCTGGCAGATGGAGTACAATGTTGATAAGTGTGAGCTCATCCATTTTGGTCGGAATAACAGCAAAATGGACTATGTTTTAAATGGTAAAAAATTGCAGCACGCTGCTGTGCAGAGGAACTTGGTTGTCCTTGTGCATGAATCGCTAAAAGTAGGATTGCAGATGCAGCAGGTAATTAAAAAGACAAATGGAATTTTGTCTGCCATTGCTAGAGGGATGGAGTTTAAAAACAGGGAGGCTATGCTGCAGCTGTATAGGGTCCTAGTGAGGCCACACCTGGAGTACTGTGTGCAGTTTTGGTCTCCTTACTTGAGAAGAGATATACTAGCACTGGAGGGGGTGCAGAGGAGATTCACTCGGTTGATTCCAGAGTTGAGAGGGTTGGATTATGAGGAGAGACTGAGTAGGATGGGATTATACTCATTGGAATTCAGAAGAATGAGGGGAGATCTTATAGAAACATATAAGATTATGAAGGGAATAGATAAGGTGGAGGCAGGGAGGTTGTTTCCACTAGCAGGTGAAACTAGGACTAGACAGCATCGCCTCAAAATAAAGTGAAGCAGATGTAGGACTGAGGTCAGGAGGAACTTCTTCACCCAAAGGGTTGTGAATCTGTGGAATTCCCTGCCCAGTGAAGCGGTTGAAGCTACCTCGCTGAATGTGTTTAAGGCAAGGCTAGATAAATTTTTGAACAGTAAAGGAATTAAGGGTTATGGTGAGTGGGTGGGGCAGTGGAGCTGAGTCTCAAAAAGATCAGCCATGATCTTATTAAATGGCGGGGCAGGCTCGAGGGGCCGGATGGCCCACTCCTGCTCCTAGTTCTTATGTTCTTATGTTGTAATTTGCCTCAGGGAGGGATGGAGTTCGTTACTAGGGAAAAGGGGCAGAAGTCAATGGATTCAGTCTGTTCACCTTTGATTTGGAGGGAATGTTTGCTATCAAATACTGAATATGGGACAAGAATTCTGAGAAATGAGAAACTGCAGAGAGATCAAGAGGGGTGGTCTGATTGACAGGGTTACGGGAAGCAGGCAGTAATGTGGATTTGAGGTTACAGTCAGATCAGCCATGATGTTATTAAACGGCAGAGCAAGCTCGAGGGGCTGCCTCTTCCTCTGCTCCTATTTCTTACAATCATATGGAGTAGTGCTGGAGGTCTGTGAGCATGTATGTTGAAACGAACCCCAGATGATAAGAAATTGGTGGGCATTGCATTTACCGAGGTGATGTATTGAGTGTGCATGAGAAATCAGAGGGTCCATTGTCTTTTGTGCATGTTGAACAAAGGGTTTAATGAGGCCAGTCGTTGAGCTGCGCTGGTAGAACCCAAAGTCAACATCACTCTGCAAGTTATTGCTGAGCAGGTGCTTCTCAATAGCTCTGGTAATGACACCTTCCATCACTTTACTGATGATTGAAAGTAGATTGATGGGGTCGTATTGACTGGGTTGGATTTGTCCCACTCTCCCGTTTTTCTCTCTCTCTCTGTCTTTCCCTCCTCTGGTCTCACTCTCTTCTCCCTCCACCCCTCCCTCCCCGCCGCCTCACTCTCTACTTCACCACGCTCCAGAGCCCTTCCTGCGGTCTCTCTCCACAATCCACACCCGCTTCCTCCCATCCATCTCTGCCCTCTGCCCCCTCGTCCCGTCCACCTCCTCCCTGTGAGGCCCCTCCCCTTGTCCATCTCCGGCCTCTGACCACCCTCCTCCGCGTATTTCTGCTACCCCTCCGCTACATCTGCGCCCATCACCCACCCCACTACATGTCTGCACTCCTCCCTCGAAGCCCATGCCCCATCTCGTCCATCTCCTCGCCAACTCCACCCCTACCCGGACCGTGTGTGCACTTCTCCAGCCCATCTCCACTCAACAGACACCTCTCCGGTCCCTGTTCGTACTCTACCATCAAACCCCCAAGGTTGCACCGGAACTGGAGGGGCACCAATATCCTGGGAGGGAGGTTTGCTAGAGCTGTTCGGGAAGGTTTAAACTAGTTTGGCAGGGGGATGGGAACCAGAGCTACAGATCAGAGGATTGGGTAGCCAGTGTACAGACAGATAGAGCAAGCAGAAAATCTGTGAGGAAGGATAAGCAGTTGATAGGGCAAAGTGGCAGTCAGTGCGACAGGTTGAGGTGTATGTACTTCAATGCAAGAAGTGTCAGGAATAAGGATGACCAACTTAAAGCATGGATCAGTCCATGGAACAACGACGTTGTGGCCATTACGGAGACTTGGATAACACAGGGGCAGGAATGGTTGTTGGATGTTCTGGAGTTGCGATGCTTCAAAAGAAATAGGGAGGGAGGTAAAAAAGGTGGGGGAGTAGCATTGCTAATCAAGGATGGTATCACAGCTGTAGAAAGGGAGGTCATGGAGGAGGGTTTCTCCACTGAGTCAGTGTGGGTGGAAGTCAGAAACAGGAAAGGAGCAGTCAGTTTATTGGGAGTTTTCTTTTGAGGCCCCCAATAGCAACAGAGACACTGAGGGAGAGACTGGGAGACAGATTTTGGAAAGGTGCAGAAGTGGCTGATGGAGTTTAACCCTGAAAAGTGTGAGGTGATTCATTTTGGAACGACAAACTTGAAAGCAGAATACAGGGTTAACGGAAAGATTCTTGGCAGTGTGGAGGAGCAGAGGGATCTTGGGGTTCATGTCCCAGTTCCCTGAAAGCTGCCACCCAGGTGGATAGAGTTGTTAAGAAGGCGTATGGTGTGTTAGCTTTCATTAATAGAGGGATTGAGTTCAAGAGCTGTGAAATTATGCTCCAGCTATACAAAAGCCTGGTTCGGCCACATCTGGAGTATTGTGTCCAGTTCTGGTCACCCCATTACGGGAAAGATGTGGAAGCGTTGGAAAAGGTGCAGAGGAGATTTACTAGGATGTTGCCCGGAATGGAGGGAAGGTCTTACGAGGAAAGGTTGAGAGATCTAGAGCTTTTCTCTTCAGAACGACGAAGGATGAGAGGTGACTTGATAAAGGTGTACAAAATGATCAGAGGTATAGATAGAGTGGACAGCCAGAGACTTTTTCCTGGGGTGGAGGTAGCTATTACAAGGGGACATAGTTTTAAAGTGAGTGGAGGAAGAGAAAGGGGAGACGTCAGAGGTAGGTTCTTTACTCAGGGAGTGGTAGGGGTGTGGAATGCATTGCTGGAGAGGGTAATGGAGTTGGCCTCATTAGGGGCATATAAGTGGCTATTAGATAGGAATATGGATGATAGTATAAGGTAGCGGTGGAGGTTAGATAGACCTTAGGATTAGAGTAAAAGTTCGGCTCAACATCGTGAGCCGAAGGGCCTGTACTGTGTTGTATTATGTTCGATGTTCTAATAGGGTTGTTGTCATGGGTGACTTCAACTTCCCTAATATTGACTGGAACCTCCTGAGTACAAATAGTTTGGATGGAACAGATATTTCAGGTGTGTCCAGGAAGGATTTCTGACTCAATGTGTCGATAGGCCAACGAGAGGGGACGCCATATTGGATTTGGTGCTTGGCAACGAACCAGGTCAGGTGTCAGATCTCTCAGTGGGAGAGCATTTCGGTGATAGTGATCACAACTCCCTGACCTTTACTATTGTCACGGAAAGGGATAGGAGCAGACGGTGTGGGAAAGTATTTAATTGGGGAAGGGGGAATTATAATGCTATCAGGCAGGAGCCATGGAGCATAAACTGGGATTAGATGTTCTGCGGGAAATGGACGATAGAAATGTGGAGGTTGTTTCGGGAGCAGTTGCTACAAGGACTGGATAGATTTGTCCCACTGAGGCAAGGAAAGGATGGTGAGGTGAAGGAACCTTGGATGACAAGACATGTGGAACATCAGGTCAAGAGGAAGAAGGATGCTTACTTAAGGTTGAGGAAGCAAGGATCAGACAGGGCTCTGGAGGGTTACAAGGTGGCCAGGAAGGAACTGAAGAATGGACTTAGGAGAGCTAGAAGGGTGTATGAAAAAGCCTTGCCAGGTAGGATCAAGGAAAACCCCAAGGTGTTCTATACTTATGTAAGGAATAAGAGGATGGCCAGAGTGAGGGTAGGGCCAATTACGGATAGCGGAAGGAAATTGTGCCTGGAGTTGGAGGAGGTAGGGGAAGTCCTTAATGAATATTTTGCTTCAGTATTCACCAGTGAGAGGGACCTTGATGTTTGTGAGGACGGAATGAAACAGGCAGATTTGCTCGAACAGGTTGATGTTAGGAAGGAGGATGTGCTGGAAATTTTGAAAAACATGAGGATCGATAAGACCCCTGGGCCAGACGGGACATACCCAAGGATCCTATGGGAAGCTAGGGAAGAGATTGCTGCCTCTTTGGTGATGATTTTGTGTCCTCACTGTCCACTGGAGTAGTACCAGAAGATTGGAAGATGGCAAATGTCATTCCCTTGTTCAAGAAAGGGAATAGGGATAATCCTGGGAATTACAGACCGGTCAGTCTTACTTCTGTGGTAGGCAAATTATTGGAGAGGATTCTGAGAGGTAGTATTTATGATTATTTGGAAAAGCACAGTTTGATTAGAAACAGTCAGCATGGCTTTGTGAGGGGCAGGTCATGCCTCACAAGCCTTATTGAATTCTTCGAGGATGTGACAAAACACATCGATGAAGGTAGAGCAGTGGATGTGGTTTATATGGATGTTAGGAAGGCATTTAATAAGGTTCCCCATGGTAGGCTCATTCAGAAAGTAAGGAGGCATGGGATTCAGGGAAATTTGCCTGTCTGGATACAAAACTAGCTGTCCAATAGAAGACAGAGGGTGGTAGTAGATGGAAAGTATTCGGCCTACAGCTCGGTGACCAGTGGTGTTCCGCAGGGATCTGTTCTGGGATCTCTGCTCTTTGTGATCTTTATAAATGACTTGGATAAGGAATTGGAAGGGTGGGTGAGTAAGTTTGCCGATGACACGAAGGTTAGTGGAGTTGTGCACAGCGTGGAGGGCTGTTGTAGGTTGCAACGGGACATTGACAGGATGCAGAGCTGGGCAAAGAAGTGGCAGATGGAATTCAACCCGGAAAAGTGTGAAGTGATTCATTTTGGAAGGTTGAATTTGAATGCAGAATACAGGGTTAATGGCAGGATTCTCAGCAGTGTGGAGGAACAGAGGGATGTTGGGGTCCACATCCATGGATCCCTCAAAGTTGCTACCCAAGTTGATAGGGTTGTAAAGAAGGCACATGGTGTGTTGGCTTTCATTGGCAGGGGAATTGAGTTTAAGAGCTGTGAGGTTATGCTGCAGTTCTATAAAACTCTGGTTAGACCACACTTGGAATATTGTGTTCAGTTCTGGTCACCTCATTATAGGAAAGATGTGGAAGCTTTAGAGAGGGTGCAGAGGAGATTTACCAGGATGCTGCCTGGACTGGAGGGCAGGTCTTTTGAGGAAAGGTTGAGGGAGCTCGTGCTTTTTTCATTGGGGTGAAGAAGGATGAGAGGTGACTTGGTAGAGGTTTACAAGATGATGAGAAGCATAGATAGAGTGGATAGTCAAAGACTTTTTCCCAGGGCGGAAATGACTATTATGAGGGGGCATAATTTTAAGGTGATTGGAGGAAGGTATAGGGGAGATGTCAGAGGTAGATTCTTCACACAGAGAGTGGTGAGCGTGTGGAATATGCTGCCGGCAGTGGTCGTGGAGTCAGATACTTTAGAGACTTTTAAGTGACTCTTGGATAAGCACATGGAGGATAGTAAAATGTAGGGTATGCAGGGTAGATTGATCTTAGTAGGATAATAGGTTGGCACAACATCGTGGGCCGAATGGCCTGTATTGTGCTGTACTGTTCTGTTCTGTGTTCTACGTTCTATGTTGTGCTTTGGTCACTGTCCTCCTCGAGTGATAGCATACACACATCGACCCCCATCCCCAACATGTAAATTGGTTGGTGGGATGTTGGGGATATTGCCAAGAAGCTAGGGCCATGCCTTGTTCTCTACAGGTCGCTCCCTGCACAAGACAACCATTTTCACCTATTACCACCTGTTCAGCTTTTACTCCGTCCCCACTATACAACAGTTTTCACTGTATTTTGTAACAACATGCCCGTGCTAATAATCAGATCAAATCAAATATCCACAATCCCCTTTGCTTTCTCACTCTGTCTTTTACTATTTCTCTCCCCCATCTTCTCTCTGTGTTTTTCTCTCTCTGTCTCTGTGTGTGTCTGTGTGTGCGTTTCTTACCTGCTTTCTCTCTCTAAGTCTGGGCACTATCTCCATCTATTTATCTCAGTCCTTTCCCCAGCTCCCATCATCACTGTAAATACCATCATTTCCCAGTTAGTTTCTGTTCTGGCGAAGGGTCACCTGATTCAAAACATTAAAACAACAAAAACATTGTTTTTTCTCTCCACTGATGCTGCCAGACCTCTTTTGGAATTCTCTTCTGGAAATAGCAATTGAGGATTCAGAGGGATAGAGGGCTAAGATAAAAGGGAGGTGATGGCTTAGTGGTATTATTACTGGGCTATTAATCCAGAGCACCCAGGTTCGAATCCTGCCACAACAGATGGTGGAATTTGAATTCATTAAATATCTGGAATTAAGAATCTAATGATGACCATGAATCCATTGATGTTTGCCAGGAAAAACCCAACTGGTTCAGTCATGTCCTTTAGGGAATAAAACTGGTCTGGCCTACATGTGACTACTTGAGCCACAGCAATGTGCTTGACTCTGAACTGCCCTCTGGGTAATTGGGGATGGGCAATAAATGCTGCCTGGCCAGCGACACCCTCATCCCGTGATTGATTAAAGAAAAAAAAGTTGCATTGTTGCAGACAAAACAATGGCCTCATTCGGGGATGAAACAGGCTCGAGGGCAGTTCCAGTCTTCCTTCTGTTGTGTAACTGGATGTGTACGGGAATTGTTCTGTCACTAAATATTTAACAGACAAACTGATATTGAATTAAATTGAATTGGATTAGCTTTATTGTCATGTACACTCAAATGAGAGCAGTGAAAATTTTGCAATGTTGCCGCTTATGGCGCCATCCTAGGTACATGATACCTTGGTACAGATACTTCAGTATTTGGTACAAAATTGAAAGAACAATAAATAAAGTCCAGCATCAGAATAAAAAGGGAAAAAAAAGTACTAGATTTACACACCTTTCATCCCAGTCCATGCCAGTACCTCACTTCCAGACCGCACTGGGCCAAGTCTCCAGATGACACTGGGCTTCAAAACTTCAGGCCACTCTTCCCCACGGCTCCAGTTTCCAGTCTGCAAGGGCCTTGCCTGCCCATGACAGCCTCCAGTCTGGGCCTCACCTCCCCACGACAGCCTCCGGTCTGGGCCTCACCTCCCCGCGACAGCCTCCGGTCTGGGCCTCACCTCCCTGCGACAGCCTCCGGTCTGGGCCTCACCTCCCCGTGACAGCCTCCGTTCTGGGCCTCACCTCCACGCGACAGCCTCCGGTCTGGGCCTCACCTCCACGCGACAGCCTCCGGTCTGGGCCTCAATTCCCTGTTACAATCTCCGGTCTGGGCCTCACCTCCCTGTTACAGCCTCCGGTCTGGGCCTCACCTCCCAGTGACAGCCTCCGGTCTGGGCCTCACCTCCCCACATCAGTCTCCAGCCTGGGCCTCACCTCCCCACGACAGACTCACGTCTGGCATTTGCCTCCCTGCACTGACCTCCGATCCAGGAGTTGCCTCCTCCATTTTCCTCCAAGTATGTTTAAAGTTAACAGTTTGAAAAAATGCACTACAGAGAAGTTAAAAATAAATGATAAAAAGACAAAGAATGGACAGAGAAAAGGCTCTCCAGCTGGAGCAATTTGACTTCCTGTAACAAACCTGTTTGTGGTTTTTAAGTAAGTTGAATCATTTCCAATCTAGTACAAGTGGGAAATTTGTATTACACAAGCAATGCAACAACCTAAAGCCCACAGTTTGAATCACCAAACGGCCTTTTATGCAAAATCAAAAATCACACGACAACAGGTGAGAATCCAATAGTTTTATTTGAATTCCCAAACTTTTGGGGTGCTGCTCCTTTGTCAGGTTAGACTATAACCTGGTGTCATGTGACTTCTGACTTTGTCCACCCTAGTCCAACACCGGCACCTCCACATCCTTTTGTGTTGTATATTTGTATGAACCTCTCTTTTCTCTCCTCTTTCCCAGTTACAATATTCTCCAAACCAATCAGCAACCTATCAACTTCTCTCATCCCATCCCATCTGCATGAGCAGTTTTTAGTTTGATTGTGAAGTGAATGAGCAATGTTGAAGGTAACAGTGCCCCCCCAACCAGTTTCCTGACACACTATTCTTACTCTGCATTTATCTGCATGGCACAGGGAGGGACCAATTCGATCTTTACCTTACAGTCTTCACAGCATAGCTCAGTGGATGAGCATTGTGCCCCAGGTTTGAGTTTACATGTTGCAGCCTCACAGCAGGTGTCTTTACACTCCTGAGGAGAAACAAACAATCGTCAAAATCCTGGTTACTGATGTACAAGCTCGTGTGAAGAGAGTGGGGTAACTGATTCCAAACTCAGACGGCGATCTCAAGAATTATTTTGCTGGAAAGTAGAGCATGGAGTATCCATCTTGGGAGTATTTGTGAGCTGCTTTGTCGAGGATACAACCAAATTATGTCTGACTCACATCATCCATTTTTACTTGGACACATGGCAAACACAGAGCTTGCTTTCTGATCTTCCTGGGAACATGACAAATGTTGACAATAATACATTCAGCCTTTTCATCTAAATCATAAATGTAAAATGCAACTATTTGAGATTCCAACACTGATCCCTTTCCCAAGTTTACAGTTTTCCAAGATGAAATAGACCCATTCATCCTGACTTGCTGCAGTTAGCAATTCCTCTAACAGCAAATGCAAACAGCTCATCTCAAATATCCAGAACTCTTGCACAGTAACCTTTTACATGGCAGATTCACTTTGGAAGGAGTAACAGGAATACAGAGTACTGGGCTAATGGTAAGATTCTTGGTAGTGTGGATGAGCAGAAAGATCTCGGTGTCCATGTGCATAGATCACTGAAAGTTGCCACCCAGGTTGATAGCGTTGTTAAGAAGGCGTACAGTATGTTAGGTTTTATTGGTAGAGGGATTGAGTTTCGGAGCCATGAGGTCAAGTTGCAGCTGTACAAAACTGTGGTGCGGCCGCACTTGGAGTATTGCGTACAGTTCTGGTCAC